CTCCTCCAGATATTTGACCTATGGGGGTATGAAAAGATCACAGCCGGTTGGTGTGAAGATTGCGGTCTCTTTTAGAAAGAAGTATGGAGGAACTGGATAACGTGTCCAACAGGTGGTGGGCTTCAGACTGGAAAGATAATAGCGTAGTAAAGAAAATCAGGAAAAGGCGTTCCAGGTTAGGTTGTTGAAGATATTTCCATATTAATTCGTAGAATGTAGAAAGGATGTCAGGTCTCACAAATGGCTAAAGAGTTTGAGCTGGCATTCTTGGATAACAAAGAGCACAGACGGTGAAGAATGCGTCACGCCCTGTGTGATTCATCTTAGCTTTGGGACCTGGTTAATGATAAATGCCGCTCAATTTGCAGCTGATCCACGCAATCTCAGAGCCTTGACTTGGCTACTGATGGGTTGTCGACCGTTCTCGCATCTTAAGTCTAGAAATTAGTGTTGTTGGCGCGTATCTTTGTGAATTTAAATTTGCATGTCCTATGTGTTGCCAATGGACGAAAGATGAATATTATGCTCAACATTTGCTGATTTGTCCTGGGGGTTCCAAAAGCCAACCGGAAACGCATTAGATATCTATGTTGGCAACCTGCACTTTGTAGAGTGATTTGCAATTGTTGTGGGAGAATGGGGTTGAGGATTGTGATGATGATTTAGAAATATACTTGCATTTGTGTTAATGAGCAATGTTGATGGTGGACTATAAATGACCGGTTCCAGCATATGGAAAATCTTGCTGGCTAGTTCTAACAAAAGGAAGAAGAGGCATGCCCTATTATGTGGGAAAATACAAATATAGATTGGTTTACGCTTCAGGGAGGAAGTTTTCAATACATGGGTCACAGGAATTGTTCTGAAACCCTGCACATCCATACGCGAAGAAAGAAAATCGTTTGGTTTTAATAGTATAGGAGATGGCAGCAGAGGCCAGAGCCTTAAAGGGAATCACAAGTATTTCTGCTGTTTATCATGATTTGCCCAAATGATTTGGAAAAAGGTCGGAGACAAAGAAAAGAAAGGAATAATAATGGAAGAATGATGGTGATGAGAATGAGTGATGAGGAGACACAAGTGAAATTGATAATCAGAATGATCTTACTAAGGTGGAAGAAAAGATCTATGTTTTTTCTTTACCGTAAGGTGGAGGTTAGTGTGTTGTTTTTCTTTATTCATGATTTTTTATAAATTTGTTTAGCTTTATAATTGCTTAATGTATTTCTTTATTTTATTTACAGGGACGAACTTTCTATTTACGTCATAATTTAGGACGTGATGGCACATAGAGAAATACAGTCTGTTGTGGAGAGCATAATAAGCAACTATGTTGCGGCATAGTGGGAATCAAGAATGGGGGATACAAATGCTCGTAAGGGCTTGGAAGAGTATGGCAATTCGAGGAAGACTTGGCATCTAGAACACGGAACGGCGATGGGTACGTATCGGCCGGTGGTGCGCGCAGGTGGGGGTGTAGAGCCGGACCGAGAGCAGCTTACATTTGTTGCAGAAGGGTCGGAAAGATGAAAAGATGTTGGCCAAAGATATATGACTTCAAAGGGCCTGATGGTGTATATGCTGCAGTTATCGGCGAACTTGCTCAACATTGGAGGATTGTAAAGATATGGGGCGTGTGAATCTCAATGATGTATCACTGTCGCTACTAATGGCACGCAATTGTTGGCTGTTGGCGTATAAGAGGATTGTTACCCTGGAAGAGAGCCGTAGAAAAAGCGATAATTCGATGTATCTAAGATTTTTCAATGAGATTATGCCACGCGTGCTATTGATAGAGAAAAGTTTGTTGGACCTTGAGAACGAGATCATTCAGCTTTGTGTCACGTGGACCTGTTTTCCCGCGGTCAATTGGTTTGATACATGGTACATTATTTACGGGTCATCACCAAGAGAGGACGCGGTGTGGTCCGGCGCTTATCTTTTCGTGTGGAGGTGATCGTGTTGTGCAGAGTCGCGGTTAAGATTTTTGTTCTATTTATTTTTTCGATCGAGCTGGAAAATCCATGTATGGAATTTAGATTTGGAGTCATGCGGAGTGTTGCAAAGATTACATTCTTGTATTTGCAGAGGTACAGTGAAGGA